GGTGGCCACACCAAGTCAGAAATCAAAACCAACTGCAGAAGCCATTAAATGCAGATTCAAAGGGCCCATGATAAAGTGACCTCTTTATTAACCACAGAAGGCAATGAGCAGCCACGTCCTCAGACTGTTCCACCATGACTTAAATGAATCCCGAAGCATATAGCCCTTCGAATTTTTTTTTTTTTCTCCTCCCAAGCACTGTTTTCAGCCATGAGGGCCACAGAATGGGAATTCAAAGGCTGTCCTTTTCATGACTTCCCCCTGGTAGACTTCCAAGTCAGCATCTTCTGTTCCCCCACATCACACACACTGTCTAACCTTGGGACTTTGGACCAATGTTGAGTAACCTACACGAAGGCCTCAGAGTGTGCAAGAAGGTGGCAGTCTGCAAAGGGATGCAGTGATAGAGACACTGCGGCTGCGTTTTAATATTTTAGTTACCGTGTTCCCTTGACTGATGGAATTCACATATTAAATTTTTAATTATCAAGTTGTTAAAGTACGGTGCCTTTCACCTGAGCTAAGATTAACTAGGCACTGCCATGCTGCAGAGACAATGGGTTTTTTGTTGCATTATCAGGTACATGAAGTTTCATCCGTGTCCTCTAGCCCAGGACTTCTGACAGAGGACCCTTAGCACATGGGGCTCTCTTGGCCTGCCCCATATGCCTAGCTTACTGTGCAGGCTTGCACCTGCAGACTAGCAGGTGGGTCAACTGGGGGCACAAAGCTGGGTCACGGTATGAAGACTGTGTAAAAGCTTCTGGGTGGAATGCGTTGTAAGAGCTGGGAAAGAAAACAGGACTTTTCCTCCACCTTGGGAGAGTCCCCAAGTCCTTTCCCCACTGCTAAATTAAAACCCTCTCAAAAGGCATCACCTCAGAGGAGACATGCAGATCATCATCCCAGCCTTTCTCACTCCATTCCTTTGTTTTTCCTTCCCTCGCTAGTCTGCCACTCTGGAGGAGGTGGTTACCTCAGGTCAAGTTGAAGGCCTGCAGTGCGTGAGGACCATGGAATACCAGTCAGAGGTTTTGCCCAGAGGCAGAAATTTTCCATAGTGGCCAGGTGAATCTACAGATGCACCCCAGTAATGGATGGGTGGGGTTCTCCTGCCAGGTCACCCTCCTGAGGCTCTGGTCAGGTCACCCTCCTGAGGCTGTGGTAGGGACATCAGTGGAGAGTTGCTTACAATGAGACAGTGTGCTGCTTGAGTGTGTATAGATACCAGTTCTCGCCCAGTGAATGGGAGAGCAAGGTTGCGTGTCTGTCATGTCTCAAGTCCCTGGAAGTCTGAACATTCTGAAACCTTAAAAGATTTCCTCTCTTCCCATGCTTCCCCCAAGTTTCAAAGCAGAACAGCTGATTTTAAGTTCCTTCCCAATAGTGAGGCCCTAGATTCAGCTGATAAATCCAGGTCAGAAGCCAGGATTATTCCAGTAATCTCAGCGGCTCTTTCTTTGCCAAGTTGTGGTAGGAATGTGTTTCAGTTGAATGCCCCCCACCCCAGCGACTCTGCATCTGGCTAGGGAGAACACAGCTACTTCTAGCTGCCTGCTTGCCAACACAGACATCTCAGACAAAGGCAGGCTGATGAATAGCATCTTTAATGACATTAAATCCTAGAAAGGGTTATCGAGAACAGCAAACACACAAAGAACAGACTCATGGCCTTAAGAGCAAGCCAGAGAGAGAGAGAGAGAGAGAGAGAGAGAGAGAGAGAGAGAGAGAGAGAGAGAGAGCCTGTGCAGGTGGCTGTGAGGGAAACTGACATGAATTACAAGAAAAGGTGCACTGGCTTAGTAGAAACAAACCTGGTATTGGGGAGCAGGGTCTGAAAACAGATGTGAGGGCTTGGTCACCTCATCACCCACCACAAGGAAGCAAAGCCACAACTTCTCAGTTGTGTGTTCTTTCAGTCTTTTGTGCTCGCTCTCCCTCTCTCTCTCTCTCTCTCCATCCCCTGCCCACAAACGCATTTCTTGATACAGGAAAGTGGGCTCTGGGGCCCTCAGAAGAATAGCATAGGACTAAAAGCTAATGCAACACAACCTCTGAAAACCAGTATTCCAGACAGGGCCTGGGAGGCTAGGGGAGCAGTGCGGAGTGAGATGGCAACTTCACATGCCCCGGGAGAGGGTTGGACGTAATGACTAAGTTTCAGCTTCAGAGCTTTGTGATCTTTTATAAATCACACGTCTAGACTAAATCCCTCCTCTGTGGAATGCTGATAAACATCCCGTCTTCTGATTTTTCAAGTGCATAACGAAGCACGCATAGTGAGTACACCACAGGCATGAGGCAACCTTAGAACTCAGTGTCAAGATCATCCTAGGTGTCCAAGATCAGAACACAGGTGTCCATCTACAAAGATGAATAAATCAGCAAAGAGCAGAAAGGGGCTGGGCGGGTTCAGCAGTAGAACACTTGCCTAGCATGACGGAGGAAGGCCCTGGCTTCAAACCCGGCATGGATAATACATACAACAAATACGAAAACAGGAAAAAAATAAAAAGGAAGGAAGGAAGGAAGGAAGGAAGGAAGGAAGGAAGGAAGGAAGGAAGAAGGAAAAAGAGGCAAAGGGTGGCAAGGAAAAACTGAGGGCTAAAGGGAAAGGAGTCACATAACATACCACCAAAATCTTCAGCATCATTTCTAATATGCATTAACATTCGTAGGAAAGCAGCAGATTGCCAGAGAAGAGCAAAACTACAAAGCAAAGGAAGGCAGACTTCAGGCACCCATTCCCTATACCAACAGTTGCTAGCATTAGGCCATGGCTCAAACTTGAAGCTTCCTAATTCTCAATGTATGCAGTGCTTAATAAAATGCAATGAGTGGCTGAAAGGGAAGGCAAGAGCCCCTGGAGGTCACGAGTCCTCTGCCATCCTCACTCCTCAGAAGGTGAGGGTGTTAATATGGAGACTTCCAGTATGTGGTCAGCCTTCTCAACTCAAAAGCACAAAATGCAGAAGAAAACACAAATTTCCCAAAGAACTTGCATCTCATACGGAATTAGACACACTCAGATAAAATTATAATTTTCAATGTGAGATGCCCCCATGAGGGGGTAAAGTCGGGGCAGAGGTTTGAGCTAGGCCTTGGAGAACCAGGGGGCTGAAGAAAGGGGATAAAGTCACTTTTTGCTATAGAGACAAGTTAATTAAAAAGGTCCATTGCCCCTTCCCACCAGGTAACAGGGGCTTCATTGTATTCGAAATTCTTAGAAGGAAGCAGATTGCAATGGCTTCGTTCAGGGGAGGGAATGATTACAGTCACACAGAATGAGCCGCTGTCTTTCACTGAAAAGGTGACTTTGAACAGACCCCCTGAGCCACCCTCTACAAGATCACTTCACTGGGCTTCCACAGTGCTTAATTCACCTCCCTGCCCCCAACATGAACCCGGATTCTCTTACCTGTTACCAACCTATGCAGACTGCCTCTACAACCCCCAAACACCCCAGCAGACTAGGAACTTCCCTTACTTTTACATTCACTTAATCATCTTTAGCAAAACATGTTACATCCCAGTAAGACAAAGTAAAGCAGCCACTGCCCTCAGGAAGCTGACGGTTCAACAGCAGAAACTGACTCATGAATAGATGCCAACAGCCCCATGCTGTCTTGTCTTTCAGTCCAGTCTGTCTAACTCAACCAAGTGAAGGAAGAGAGGACTCAGATAAGCAGCCTAACCTGGCAATGGGGGACAATTCAGAATCAGTGGGTGTCAGGGACAAAGGAATCAGTGTGTACAGTGAAACGGGTCTGGAAACCCACGCAGCCAGATGTTATAGTGTGAGTCCAAAACTGGGAAGGCCCAGAACAGCCAGCATTCACCAAAGGCCAACTATGTGGGGGCAGAATGAATCCTCACAAACACCCCATGATGGAGGATCTATTACCTCAACTTGACAGATAAGGAAACTGAAGCCAACAGCTTAAGACATCGGGCAGTAGCAAAACGTCACCCTAAGCTGCCTCCAAAGGCTACAAAGATCAGAGAACTGGTCTAAAATCTTTGCAGTAATTCCAAAGGGCTTGGAATCTTCCCAGAAACAATGAGAAGTCAGTTCATTTGTTTAATAGGTTTTTGCTTATTTGTTTTTAAATGGGATTTTGCTTTGTAGCCCTGGCTGGCCTGGGCTGGCCTGATTTTGCTGTGTAGCCCATGCTACATAGACCAGATTGGGCTTGAATCAACACAGATTGTCCTGCCCCTGCCTCCTAAATGTTGAGATTAAATATGTATGCCACCATACCCAGGTGCATTTTCATCATTGTTTCTAGTGAGCACTAAAACAATGGGTTTCATATAACTTCCTGTGTGTGTGTGTGTGTGAGAGAGAGAGAGAGAGAGAGAGAGAGAGAGAGAGAGACCATATTTAGCTCACACTCTCCACCCTGTTTGCCTTCTTGCCCTTCTCCTCACCCAAATAGTTCTTGCTTTGCTTTCATGTCACATGTGTATCTAAATCTAGATTCCATATGGGAACACAACCAATATTTGTCCTTTTTCTCTTGTCATTGCCTTCCTCCCCCACCTCAAATAGACTCCTTCTACTTTCATGTCACACACACACACACACACACACACACACACACTCACTCACATACACTCACAAATACACACACTTTAATATCTGAAAGAAAACAGAATATTTGTGAATCTGGGTCATTTTGCTTAACAGGAAAATTTCTAGTTCCACCCATTTCCTTACAGATGCCACAATTTCATTCCAATGTATGACTGAATACAACTCTGTTTTACTTATACATACTCTCTCTCTCTCTCTCTCTCTCTCTCTCTCTCTCTCACACACACACACACACACACACACACACACACACACACACACCACCACCACCACCACCACCACCACCACCACCACATCACATTCTCTGTATCAATGCATCTGGGCTGGTTCTGTATTTAGGGTGTTGTGAAAGTGCCTTAATAAACATGGTTTGTATGTATCTCTGTAGTATGATATTTAAAAAAAACATGCAGAATGCTTCACAATGTGCATGTATCTTCATGCAAAGGCCATGCTAATCATTTCTGTATTGTTCCAACTTTATTACATGTGCTTCTGAAAAGGGCATAAGAAATGACTTCAAATTGTGGGGAAACCAACTCAAATCTGTGTCCCCAGAGCCCACTACCACAAGATATGTGGGTAGAACTGGAGGGAATCCAATCAGGAGATCAGTTAGAAGTTGCCAAAGTAGTCCTGTGAGGAGTAGAGCATACTGGTCCCGCAGGCTGAGAAAGAGCAGAAGGAAGACATCCAAAATATCTACTGTGCTCTGAGTCTCCACAGCTCATGAGCATCATGCTGGTAGCCTTGGGCTCAGACTATCTTTTCAAAGATGTTTTTGTGGTGAATAGCTTTGGGGGAATGGTTTTCCTATGGAGAGAAGGAAATGCACCAGTGTTTCCCAGGATACAGTGTTTCATTTCTTAAGCCCAGAGTTCTTGTATAACACAGTGCACTGCATGTGGAAGTGGCGGGCACCAGCTCTATCCATGACTCTCTGGGAACTAAGTCACCGAGAAGCAAGCAGTTGTTGACATTTCTCTGCCTGTTGTGACTGCCAGCGTCCATGAAACCAACTAGTTTGATGTGAATAAAAAGACTCAATTTCTTCACATTCTTGACAATATTTAAGAACAAAACCAAATCATCAGGCTTAGAGATGAGCAAAATGTAGAAGGCGGAGGAAGAAAGGAAACAAAGGGAACTTCTAGGGTTTATGTCTGAGTGAAAGAGGGGTCTGATTTGCACCACTGAGAATCTATGATGCAAGGTAGAAGAACAGGCTGCTGGGAAATGGCAGTCTATGAAGCATGAAACTTGATGATGAAATCTAAAAGAAGGCTAGATTAAAGATATGGTCCCAGGAGTCATTAACATCAGAAGTGTTTGAAACCATGAGATTGGATAATAACAATCTCAGCCTGACAATCTAAGGTTTGTTGGACCCCCACTAATCCCAGGACAGAGCATTCAAAAGAAGCATCATCATGCCTAGTAGAACAGATAGCACAAGGGATACACTAAATATATAACTATCAGTCAAGAAGCCAAAAATGCATCTAGACTTGGCTGGAGCTCTTGTTTAAACCAAAGCTGTTTCACCATTACCTATCTAAGGCTAAATCAGACTTCCTAGAGCCAGGGTGTCACTTGGCATACAGCACGTTCCATGCACAAATGATTTCAAGTTTCTCATTCACTTATGTGCAATACAGAAGCAGAATGTGCTCCAAGGACCACAATTTCAGATTCATTTAAAAAGCAGTACCGTGAGGTGTCTTGTGAGAGAAAGGTTCTATTACCCACAAGATCATTCATTCATTTGTTTATTCATTGGAAAACAACAAATTATCCACTTCATTAAAGACATACTAAATTAGCTAAAAGCTTAAATTTCTAAGAGGCCTAAATGTATAAACATTTCCTTAAAGGAATTCCAAATCAGAATGATGGCCAAAACATCAGCCTGAAGCTTAGTTGCTTCCTCTATGATTAGAAAAATAAGTGTCTTCAGCAAATCAGTCCAACCTCTATACCTTCCTACTTCCTCATCATAAATAGATCTATTCAAAAATGCATACTCATAAAGAGATGAAGCCAGGTTTTGTAATGGAACACCTGGAACCTTCTGCAAAAAGTGGTGTCTTATTCATCACCACCAACATAAGCCAGCCAAGGAGGAATTAATCACCCATAAAAAGTAATTACTCATGAGCCAGTTATTGTAGCACAGAAGCTTAATCTCAGCATTTAGAAGGTAGAAGGAGGTGGAGCTCTATGAGTTCAAGGCCAGCCTGGTCTACACATTTCCAGGCCAGCTAGGGCTCATAGTAAAACCTAGCCACAGAAAGACATCTCTTATCTTTATCCCATACTGTCAGTTGTAAGTATATAGAACCTGGAATAATTGCCAAAGCCAGAAAAGTAAAGTGGAACAATGGGGTGAAGGGAACAATAGAGAAGGAAATCACAAGGGAAAAGTAATTTTAAGAAGGAAATTGTAGAAAATTGGAGGTGGGTAGTTAGGATAGGAAAGATAGGTCAACAGAGAAGGAGAAGAAAAGAGAAGGTAATAAGGATATCTGAAAATGGCATAAGGGTTCCTATTACCTATTTACCTAAAGTTACATATAATACATATAACTCTGTAATTCATATACATATAGAGTTTAAGTGAAATTTTCCTATCTAAGTGACAATGGTTCCCTCAGGGCCCATTGACTAACAAACCACCCCCACACCAGGCATGTTAAGTCCTTATGTGCATTGCTAGTCAAGGAGGCCTAAGAGACTCCCAAAACATGATGGGCTACTGCTGCTGCCCTTGGCTGCTCCCCAGTGGTTGAAAGTTAAGTCCCTATCTCTGAAGACACTATGCAATTAAGACATGGAATGCAGAAGATTTGGGCTGCATCTGACCTAAAATCCTCTTCCTCAGAACTAGCTTTTATGATGCTAGACATCACCAAACATACTTCCAACAGAGGGAAACTACAAATACTCCTACACAGCTTTGACACCTACATACCACAACAGTGACCAAGATGGCACAGTATCTTTGAGAGGATAATAGTGACACTCATATTATGGCAGTAACCAACAGCTTTCTAATTGGACCCACTCAACAAGTGGGAAACTAGGCCCAGTCCTGGAAACCTAACCAACTACTCAGGGCTAGTGTGATCATAGATCTTGGAGTAGAACCGATAATGGCCACTTTACTAAACCAGCTTAGCTCTTCACTGCATTCTAAATATTTATCCTTTCTACCCACAGATGAGGGTAACTCTCACTCCTCAACAAAGAAACTTCTCTTTGCAACAGATGGAGACCATTATAGAGAGCCACAACTGGTCAGAATGCAGAGAACACGTGATTGTGTGGTGCCCAGCCCAATGATACATCTACAACACAACTCCTGTATCCAAGGCTCAGGAAGAATGAGGAAGAGGGGACAGAAAGTATGTGAGAGCCAGAGGAATGGGATAGCTGCTGTGAGATTGTGTCCCCTGGATATTTCAGGGAATCTACATCCATGGAGTCTCAATATGACCGCCTAAACAATATGACATCAACAGACATGCTAACACAGAACAGGAAAATCTCACAAGGCCCCAACGCTAGATAAAGAACTGCAAGCATCTAAGAAATATTGAGAGTGGAAGAAAACAGTCTTCCCCAGGAAAGAACCCTCCTATTGGTTATCCAATACCAAGGTGTCATTCCTGAAACAGTATACAGATGAGCAAATTATATTTATAAATTTAGGAAAGTGTACACACACGTATGCATGTATGTATCTGTATATGTAACAACTATTTTAAAAAAAAACTGGTCAAAGGCCATGAATTTAAGAGAGCAAGGGTGGTACATGGGAGGGGTTGGAGGGAGGAAAGGGAAAATAATGCAATTGTATTTTAATGTTAAGAAAAAACTTTAAAGACCACTGAGGGACAGTAAGGAGCATTATCAGTATCACTGGAGGTTTAAAGCACTTGAAATTCAGAATTTTAGAAGCACAGCAGAAATAATAATGAACACTATTGAGTCCCTACTGGGTTTTTACTTATTTAATAAACCTCTACATGCACATACATGTATGATTATTATCCCCATTTTCCAAATGGAAAACTGAAAGCCAGACACCAGAAATTGGGAGAGTAAGAAATAAACCCAAGATGATGGTTTTCAGAGTCCCAAGCACCACTACCTCCTCTATGCTACCTAGAGTGTGTTTCCTGGCATATGTGGGGAGGGCATAGAAGCCCGGACAACCCACCTTCCACTGCATCACAGACATTACTCTCCATCTGTACTAAAGGACAATTCATAAAAGCCTAAACACCAAGTGGACAGGCTTCTTTGCGTTACCTGGGGTACCATTCACAGATTCTAAACATTGAACGAGAAGATCTAAAGTCTTGTAGAGCAAGAAGAAAATCACAGTACATCAGGGGAAGACACAAGAATTTAATGTACTCCAAGCCAAAGGGCTGGGAATTAAAGCTTGGAGGCAACTTTCAAGGGGAAACTATTTGCCAGCTCTAGTTCCCATCATATTGACTTATTGATTCAGTTTAATATACATTCCTTTCAGATGCAAAGGTTTCTTGTTTTTTTTTTTTAATTAATGTGAATAATGGAACAGATGACTAAGATACAGCTGCTATGACTGCCCATCAAATTCATTTTAAGTGCTCAGTGATAAAATATTTCCCTGGAGTGCTCAAGGCCCTGTATTTGACAACCAGCACAATAAACAAGAAGCAAATGAATAAAATATTCCATTTTCTCTGGCACCATACCCAAAAGAGTCTTTATTTCATTGTGTTTCATTTTCTAAGAAATGGAGGTAAAATGGCCTAAATAACTAATTAAATAAACCAAAGGTTGTGGCTGCTCAGAGTAATAGCACAAAAGTTTTATAGTCTTGAGAAAAATAATATTGCCATGTGAAGTGAAAACAGCTTGATACAAAATAAGTGCAGTTAAGATCGTCATAGTTAATTGGGTATGGTGGCTCACATTAGTAATTGTGGTACTTAAGGTGTAAAAGCAAGAAGGTTGAGAGTTCAAAGTCAGCCTTGGCTACATAGTGAGTTTGAGACCAACCTGACTCAGTTTTAAAAATACAAAAAATAAAAAATAAAAAAATAAAAAAAACAAACAAACAAAAAACCCCACTACAGATAACAAAGATGGAAAAAGAAAGAAAAAAATTAAGTAGTCTTGAAGAAGCTATAGCAAAATATTAAAAGTGACTGTCATTTGAGCCTAAGGAAGAGTTAGGTATTTTCCTTTTCCTTTTACACCCCCCCTTGCCTTTATTTTAATTAAAACATCAATTTTTTTTTCAAGACAGCATATCTCTGTATTGCTTTAGAACTTGTCCTGGAATTTGATCGTAGACCAAGCTGGCCTCAAACTCACATCCGCCTGTCTCTGCCTCCCTAGTGCTGGGATTAAAGGTGTGTGCTACCAATGCCCAATTGAAAAATCAAATTTTCATACAATATATTCTGATCATACGTCACCCCCTCAAGTCCTCCCAACTCCTCCAATT